TTTGTGTGTTTGAGGTGCAGTGAATGGAGGTAGGTCTAAAAATGCTCAATGCTTTTCTTACAGCAGTATTAATTAGTGACAGAGGTAGCACTGGTGATGTGAGATAGCAGACAATGATGGTTGCATAAAAAACCTCCCAAAACTCAAAACTGTTCCACATGTTCCCATCTCCCTGGCAGATGAGAATGCCTGTCTTCCTGCAGGCACAGGTAGTAGCCAGCATCCAGCTGCAAAATGCCTGGCTGAGGTGATTTGTAGTTATGTCAGCAGCATGTGCTTACCCAATGCTGTGCAGGCTGACTATCCTCCTGGTTGCCAAAGGGCATCTTGCAGGAGAAGCAGCTAAGAATCCTGTAGCAAGCACATGGGAGAGAGAAATCCATTGGTTTCCAAGTTGCTGGCAGTCAGTCTGAGGAGGAACAAGCCAGAGTTCCATGCAAAATCCATTTTGGAACTTCACCCCTGAATTTTTCATGAGGAGTTCATAGGCAATGCTCAAGATAGTAGCTCAGGTGTGCAGCCATCAGGTTGCAGGGCTGTGCTGTATCTGCCTCCTGCTCTGCAACCTACTGCAGCCAGGCACCTGGGGTAAGAGATGTGGTGTTTCAGTCAGTGCTGCAGCATCCACTGTCAGAACCTAACACCCATTCAACTGGGCTGGAGAATGAGATCCTTGTGGATCTTGCTCTAGATTCACAGTCTTTGTCTGCATTTGCTAGCACCACAGAAAGCAGAGAAAGTGCATTTGAAAATGACTCAGAATTGATTCCATCATCATGTGGTGTAATGATCTGGTTTGGCATCAAAGCAATTGACTGCATAACTGCATTAAAAAAAATTCCACTGCCTACTTTTCATTTCACTGTCAAAGATGTAGCAATGCTTTTCTTCAGATTTTTCTTCACAGTTTTTTTTTTTATCAGTGCCTATGAACCAAATGCTATTTATTCGTGGAAAGGGAAATGAGTCCCCATTACTGGAACACAATTCAGGTCTCTGAAAGTTGCTTTGGATATTCGTACTTACAGAGAAAGAGATGTGTTCTTGTGTTTGAATTAGTAACTGTGCACAGTGTTAACAGTTTTGTCAAGAAAATGAAGACTCCTCTTTTCTCACCAAATAAAATGTAAGTTTTCATCATCTTGTATGAATAGAATATTTTCTTCAACTCAAATTTTCAGTGGAAATTATGATTCATAAGCTATTATTCAACATGGGCAGCCATTTTCACTGGTGCGTCTGTTTTCCGGTAAAGAACACATATTTTCTCTAAATGGAAAGATTACCAACACACTTAGCAGAAAAGACAGGGCTTCTTTCATCTAAGTCAGAGTCCTGATGGAGATGAAGTTTCCTTTAGCTTTTGAAGCTGGTGTGACAGATGTTGTGGCAGGAAGTGCTTTGTACCTCTTTGCCTTTGCTGTATGAAAAGACGACTCAGAAAAGGTGACTCCTCAGCTTGGGGGAGTTTCAGAAGTGCTCATCAGCAACTCCTGCACTGCCCCATGCTGCACCTGGGCCAGCCTACTCCTACTGCAGCCATACCCACGGTGATGGCACAGCCCCGGTAGGGGAAACAGGCCCTGCTAGGGCAGGACAGTGTCCCATCCCACCAGCCCTCTGTGCAGGCATGGAGCCCCAGAAAAGGGGTGTTTCACTGAATATATATGTGGTGCTTGGAAAGATCCATGTTCACCACCAGACGCATGATTCAATCAGTCCCTTAGCAGTAAGGCATGTCTTTCTGTGACCTTCTCTCAAACTTCTGTGAGTCTAGGCTTCTTAGAGGTACAAGTACAAAAAGCAAACTAAAATGATACCCTAACCAAAAAGCCACAGCCCCTTTCCAAATAACATGTGCAAAAATATACAGTTGGTTTTCAATATTGGTGAATATTGAAATATATACAGTTGGTTTTTGTACCTCAAGGTTCACTCAAAATATCAGCATTACTGATTGGAAGCAAAGGTATTTTTTGTTCTGACAGTATGTCCTGAGAGTTGTTTGCTTTGCTCTGCTGCAATCCACCAAAGTCACTGCTTGCCTAAGGTTTTGTCATACAATTCGATGTATGCCAGAACAACCTTAGGGCAAGAAATACCTTCCTTCTTTGCAGGATGAAAGCAATACCAGCTTGTAAGTCTTTGCTCAATCCAGGCCTTAAGTCCTTGCCTCAAATTTGAGATGGCAATAAACTATGCAAGATTCACGAAAAATAAAGCTGAAATATGGTGGGTAAGGGATTTGCCAACAGTATACTAAAAACTGGGAGAATTCATGCAGGATTTAATATATAGACAATGTTCAGGTTTTCAAAGTCGTTAATGCTTGCAGTTTTTAAAAAATGATGATGCTTGACATGTGCAGCAGCTAAATCTTCCCTGTTGATAATCAGAGCTGATTCATCTCTTAAAAATTGATCTCACGTCATACAAGATCTTATTACTCCCCAGAGGAATTAAATAGCTAAGGCACACTCATTTAGATTAAGTTCACCCCCTGACCTCTTCTCCATATCTCCAGTTCATACCTGTCCAACTCTTTTTGCCAGAAAAGCCGTTTAATCCTTCCTATTCCTCACAAACCCCCAATACTGATTTGAACTCATAACCATAGAATATAAATACAAATCAAAATTTAATCTAGAAGGGAAATGGGAAATTTTTATGACAGTGAGTAGACTGTTTTAGCAGTGAAGGATTGGAACACTCAAGGGACTTAGATTTATGAAGTGTTTCACAGACTCACAGAATCATAAGGGCAGAAAGGAACTCCTGGAGATCATCTAGTCCGACCCCCTGCTAGATCAGGTTCCCTATAGTAGATTGCACAGGAAAGCATCCAGGTGGATTTCGAATATCTCTAGAGAATGAGACTTCACAATCTCTCTGGGCAGCCTGTTCCAGTGCTCTATCACCCTCACCAGTAAAGAAGTTCAAGAAGTTCTTTCTCAAGCTGATATAGAACTTCCCACATTCTAGTTTTTGCCCATTGCCCCTTGTTCTGTCACTGCACACCACTGAAAAGAGTTTCATTGCAGTTGAAGTCAAACCAAAAGCAAAGACTAAGGTTCAGCTCCCCAGTAAATATTGTATGGGCAGAAGTCCCCAGTAAGCAATTGGATTTATTTTTAACTAAGAAATTTCAGTAACCTGTACTTTTTCTGCTTTTGTTATTGATATGTATATGCCAAGTAACAGATTCACGTGTGTAATGAACTCTCCACATGCAAAACACTTGACCATTAACAGGGAGTGCATATCCGCGGCTTTGATCTCTGTTCTGATGATTTGTTTGCTTTCCCTTCATTCCAGAGCCTCTTTTCCCCTAGCTGTAAACAAACTCTTTAAAATCTGTGAGAAATGTGACAGAATGCAAATCTACTTGAACTTTGAAGATAATGAAATACCCATGATAAGGGAAAAAGGTCCACATCAATTCACAATTCTTCACAGTCATTTCTTCCACAGTGTTATATATTAGGTACAAAACTGCAATCTTGAATTCAATCATTAAAATCCAAGAGCATATAGATTTGTGTTCATAATTCAGGCTAGAAGGTAAACTTACAAAATATATATTGAGATTTGGATTTCAAATTACCTCAAGCTATGCTGGTGTTCAAATTGTGAGATTCTTGTTGCTTTTCCATACTTAAATTTTGGAGTAGCTGTGGTTGCCACCCAGAATATCTTTCACCTGTTCACAGTAGTTTGTATTGCCATTTTATCAAAATAAGGTTCACTTGAGCTTGCTCAGATTGTAAATTTTTATTCCTGATCTTAGCCTGCAATTAGATCTTACAAACCTGTTGGGTTTACTGATTTACCGACTTCAGACAGTCCACATAAGCAGTGGCTGGGATGTAAAGGACATTACTGACTTTAAATAAATGTTTGACACTTTATGACAAGGATCGATCAGTAAGGATGAAAGCCTCTTACTGATCCTGGATCTTGTTACCTGCATGATAGAAACTGATCCTTAGTATACAGGTTTTTGAGAGACCTGGTTCCTGGAATAGCCCAAAGCAAGATCCGTTTTAAATTCTGTTCACTGTCAAAAATGAAGATGTAGAGGCCTAGGTTGTAGAACTCCCTTCATGGACTGCTGCACAACTGGAAAATTACCATTACAATCCTAAGCTTTTACATTGCAAACAAAGGAAACAGGTTGAGATTGCTTCTTAGTAGTTTATTTCCCCCCCCCCCCCCACTCTCATTTCCTGGATGTTGTTTGGATGTTACTAATGTTTCTGCCTGTATGTGGATTTTGTACAAGAGTTGGCTGAAATATTTCCATTTGATCTTTTTTTTTTCCTGCTAAAATGGTATTTTCCCCAAACTGAGAGTTTCCAAAGAGTTTTGACTCTTTGAGTTGCTGGCCTACGAGAATATTGGATTTTTTGTTTATTCTTCTTGAATTACTTTTTCTTCTCTTTTATTTTAGTTCTTTTTGGTAGCTCAGTCTGTAAACTCAGCTCATGTTTTTGTTTTTTTTTGCAGACTGTTTCTCATTCTGCTCTTATTCATTTTTCTTCCCTCTCTTTTAATTTAAAGGCACTGAAGTGGCAGAAAGAAACTGAAAAATGTCCCAAAATATTGCTGAATATTACTGTGTATAGCATAAAGGATTAAAAGAAATGAAAAACAAGGGTAAGAAGAAAAAAGATATTTTCATGAAAAAAACCCAGGAAACTAACCAATAAAAACAGCGTAATTACCTCACTGCATGGAAACAGCTCCAAATTCTTGGTTTTTCACTTTTTTTAAAAATCTTTTTTTAATCTTTTTTTTTTTTTTTTTTTTTCCTCTTCTTATGTTTCCCATTATGGTTATAAACCACCCCACCATCTCCCTCTTCAACTGTGGAGGTTGGAGAGCTTATTTCTTTATATGACATGTATGCACCCATTCTGTTTCTAACAATATATGGTATAAGAAATAAAAGTTCTATTAAGAATTAAAAAACAGTGATGAAAACTGAGACTTCCCAAAGCTTTGTTACAGTGGATTTAATCCATTTTTCTTTCCAGAGTACAACATATTTTGACATATCTTTTTCACAGCAGCATCTCAAGGCAAACCTCAGTTTTTTCATTCTTTCAGAAGTTCTTTACTCCGTGATTTTCTTTCTCAGTCTGGTTGGAAGTTCTGGGGAGTAGGATTTCCCTGTTACACAGTATTTTATATCAAGCATTTATCATAAGCAGTAGAGGTTATTATTCACCGATAATTTTCAAATCCAATTTTTTTACCAATGATTTTCAAAATATTGAAACAATGTATTTGTGGATGTATTTGTGGGGGATAGTTTTGTTCGTTAGGGAGCTTAAGAAAACTGGCAAAATTATGTGATGGAACAACAGAAAAGAATGTTACTCAGCATGCCAGGCTGCCCCTCCACATCTGTACCTAGGAGCTGGTTGTCTTAGTGAATTTGCTCCTGCTAAATTGGCAGTTCTCACTTCTTTCAGTACCTTTCTCATTTTCACTTTTCTTAATGTCACAGTGAACAATCTGCACCTTTTCTCTGCAATACCTCTATGAATTTAGACTTCTGCTGAGGAAAACTCTGTTCTTGACATACCAGCTTACTGCCTTTTTATGCTTGATGATCCCTGTTTACCCTATCAAATTTGAAACCAGCCTTCCCTTTTTCAGACAAACAGCACTGTATCCTCTGACCAGTATTTGTTTTGCCGAAGAATCACAAAGAGACTTGACAGTGCACTGCTCTGCCTCATGCAGCCAAATGTTGGCAATATATTCAGGTAGGATTCCCAGTTGGCCATCTATGGTCCAGAGTTTTGGTGGATTTCACAAATAGAGTGAAGGATTGATCATTTAATTCATTTGTTCATTCATTCAATTATCTCATTCATATTATAGGCTCTGAGCAATCCACTGGTCAAGTAACCACTAAATCCACTAGGGAAGTGGATAATTGGTAGATAGTTGCAAAGCAGAGTCCATGAATACACTGGTTTTGTGGACTCTGTTGTATTTGGGCTGTTAAGACATGAAGAGATCTTACCTCCTAGTTGAGAGAGCAATTCTGCAGGTTTGAACTGATTTAGAGAACAGTTGGAGTAAAAATTCCTCTTCTGATAGTAGAATCCAGAATTTAATTAAATAAGAGACCCTCTAATGTACAAATGGCAAAGACGCACTGACAGCACAAATACAAAAAATGCAGCTGCGTGTACTCGAGGTTCTGAGTCATAGTAAAGTCTCTGCTGTGCTTTCTCAGGTTTTGTTTCCCTGCTGTCTCACAGTGTGCAGGAGAACATGTGCATGCTGCTCACTCCTAGCGTGGTACAAGGAAGTCTGACAGCGAATATTAGGATGAATTCATGGCATCATAGCTTAGCCCTAGCAAAAGGGCTTGTGCAACGCACTGGCACTGGCATTGGAGGTAGTCTTTTTCTTTTGTTCTCAGTTTACCATAGGGACTGTAGAAAATAAGTAGACTGTAGAAAAAAAGTTCCCTCTGTTGTGGCACTACCGGAATCTACTCTCAAGCAAACACATTTTCTTCAGCTAAAAGCTGACATCTTTAACACATCGTTAGCACTTCATGCACAAGTCAGTGGATCAGGCAGTGTGCTAGTTAACATGCAAGGTGAGAGCAAAACAGCTTGGAACAGTACTAGTACTAGACATCAGTATCATGACTGAGCACAGGGCCATCATAAGAGCTCAGGGAGGCAGAGGAAGGTGAGGAGATGCTGATTTCCTGTTATCCAGGTTCAAGTAGCTAGAAACTTCTGCTGCCAAAATTTCTATGCCATAAACAACTTAAACCTGGAAGAGAAGTGGAGAATAAGTTACGTGCAACCTATGTATATTTGAATCAGTCCAACCTCTGCTTCTGCTCTCTATCCAAACTGTTTCTGGCTACTGGCAAGTGTTTGAATAGTTAATAAATTACTCATTCCTTACTGATTATTTGCTCCCAACCAGTAACCCTGAGCAAATCTTAGCAAATCACTTCCTCAGAGAGATCTTGGGTATCGCACAGTATTTGAATAATCTGAATGGAACAGTATACGTCCCTTCCTCATGCATAAGATCATTACCGTGCACTGATGTGAAGCAATTGCATTTCTAGGAACCAGCCCACCATTCTGGTTCAAAAGCTTCCCAAAGATTTTGGTTTTTTTCCCTTTCCTGCTACACGGCAGCAAAAACTACATTAACAAGGTACTGTGCCAACCCCTCCCACCCTTCTACCCGCCTGAATCAATGGGAGACACAGCGAGCTGTTCTTTCCTTCCCAGAGAAAATTTTGCAACAGATACAAGCAAAGTGGAGGCACTTGTAGGCTTAATACAACCTCACCTCAGATTCTTGGCTTTTTAGCTGCATTCACTGCTGCCATGGGCATGTATTCACTGTTGTATTCATGGGAGCTGGATTCACACTGCTGATTCTGCAAACGGACAGAAAATGCCATAAATTTAATTTGTGGCCACTAGCCTCCACCACTCCTGCTGTTGTTCTTTAAAGAGGGCAGTTAATCTGACTGTTTTCAGTGGAAATATTAAAACCTGAATAGACAGGCACCAAGATAGAAAACTTGGAATAGAACAAACTAAAAATGAAAAACATACACCATCCAGAAAAATGACTAATGTCCCTGATCTCCTTTCTTTCCTGAGCTGACTGGTTCTTTGTTTTAATGGTTTTGCTCCAGAACAGCTGGAATTGCTCCACTGATGATTTGTTTTCCCCCCTTGAAGAAAACAATCAGGTGAATTGCTTACCAAAGTAATTCTGCTGACCTGTGCAGCTTTTTTCCTCTATTCTATGATTCCCAACCCTTAAATCAATAGACAATTCTGTCTTAGAAAAATTAAATCTGAGCTGCTGTCATCCGTGACTGAATTCCAGTGGTAAATTAACAACTGCATCAAAAAATACATCACTCGCTGAGTATGTGCCTGTCCCACTCCCTAAATCTTATAAAATGAAGTTCCCTATCCATGACCTCAATGAAGGAGGGTTGTGCAGAATCTTATGGACTTCCTTACCTTGTTCCTTAAACAATAGACTACTACACAGCAGACACATGAAATCAGGGCAAATGCAATCAGGCCAGTAATTATCCATGACATGATTCCTTGTGAAAAGCAGTCTTCCTTATCTGGAGATAAAGCAGCAAATAAGTCATTGTTGAAAATCAGCACCATTTTTTCTCCCATAGATGACTTTTCAAATTATTCCCCCTTCTTTCTTTCATATCTGATGAAACAAAGCGTGTCCGGAGGATTTTCCTGAGTTAAAAAGCTGCCTTGGAAAACTGTACAGCAGGAAAAAGAACGCTGTTGTTTTCCAGAAAGAGAGGTGAAACCCTAACTGTTGGTGCAGAAGGCTGAAAGAGTAGATTGAAAAGAAACCAAGGCAGTCTTTAGAATGTGATGGTATTTCAGGTTTGGAAAAGTGAACAAGGTTATTCAGAAAGAAAGACATTCAGAAAGAAAGACGGGTGATATAAAAGGTGGCCTGCTCCAAAGAAGAGGGCCCTTTGATATTCATGTTTGGATAGAAAGGCAAACTGGGGAGCAGAAGATGAACCTTGCTCTGGTCTGGGAGAAAATACAATAGGACATGAAACAAGCAGCAATAGCTACGAGTGATCATCTATGAGGACAAACAGGAATTGACAGCACTGGGAAACGCTGCTGACAAAAAAAGGATGTCACAGCTTAATTCTGAGATCAATGTGTTTTAAGTGCAGAGGGGGATAGTAGATCATTTGACCCAACCACATGATATTAGCCTCAGTATTTCAGCTTCTGTCTTTGTTTATACATGATGTTGAGAAATGGGAAATGATGGAGAGGGAAGGACAGCAGACAGTACAGAACTGCTATTCATCTATATGGAGAACCAAGCAGAGGAGAAAAAAAAAACAACAAAAAAAATCTATTAACTGTTTCAACTTAATATACTAAAGATCCACCAAATGAAAAGTCATTCAGAATTAATGTATGTGTAGTAAGTCTCCTGGAGTTAGTCCAAGTCCTTTTCTATGTAGCTTTGGCATCCCCAACAACATGCAGAACTCAGCATAGGCTGCAAACCTGCCATGTAGGACAAATAAGTACAGGGAGGTCCTGTTGAGCTCTCAATCAATACTGCTCCACTGCCACCAGTTCCTTACTGAGTATTCTCCGTTCTCTTGAAACTGTCTCTGCAAACTTTAGTCACATATTTCACTGCTGCTTTCACTAAGCTATGCTTATTGTCTACTCATCAGGGAACTGAAGTGAGGGGAGAAGGAAAGTAAACTTACCTTGGATGTACAAATAGGTTTCCTTCAAGTGGCAGTCTATGTAAGGGGGGGGGTAATAAACTCTCCAGGCAGCAGGTGTAGGTGTCGATGTGCTTTCTGTCCAGATTTGTCAGAATGAAGGTGGTGCTGCTATTTGAATGCTCTGCCTGGCAGTAGGTAACGTTACTCTTTGGGACAGCTTTATTCTTACTCACATGGAGTGCACAGATTGCCTTCCTTTCATGCCCTCTGAGGAGGGTCATGCTGAACTCATTCACATTTTTGGGGTTTTGGAATATTAACTTGAAGTTTCCATTTTCAAATTTTACTATCCCCTGGGGGTCCACGACCTGAAGTTTATCTGAAAAGATGAGAACAGTTAAGTGCAATCACTCAAGCAGCAACAAAGAAATTCTCAAAGATGTTAAGAAACTCATTAAAACAAAGCAAGTGAACCATATGATAGGAGCTTAAAGTACTCAGAACAATCTGGCTTTGCAAAGCAGCCCATATCATGAGATACCAGTGCATCATTCAGGTCATGTCATACACAACTGAGAAAATAAATGAGATTAACAGCTGGACTACTATTTGCTATAAGGCTGGACAAGCACTGGGTCAGTGACTTATTTAATAATGTTTAAAGGTCTCCTTCGACCAAAGAATGCATGGTCATATAATATATAATCCTATTTGTCCTATTTGTAGATAAAACAAGACAAGATGAAGATGATGATAATTTTTTCTGGTTTAGGGTTCGTAATCAGAACCCTAATGCTGTAGCTGAAAATGTGAAATAGGATTTGAACCCCAAAATTCTACATATGATGCCTTGACCACAAGATTTTCCTTTTGAGATATGGTTTAAACACATTTTCTTAGATGGCTATACGACATTTATCACCAACATGATGAGAGAAATAGAGGACAAATATGATTGCGTGCTTACATTCACACGCAATTCAAAAATCATATTTGACCTTCTCAAAAACATTGTCAGAAAACATTGACACGTGTTGCGCAACTCTCTAATTCTGCAAAATGTTTCTAATTTGATTTTCTTGGAAAAGAAAAAATGAACTAATTGAGGACCTCTTGATATCTCACTTTTGTAAAGCCAACAATCAGTAGCATAGGAATACTGTCAGAAAAAAGAATTGAAATTGAAAAAAAGACAATCTACTTCTTTGAGGGCAGTATTTTCTGGCCTAGAAAGGCACTTAAACCATAAACCAAATAATGCAAATGTCTTACCTATATTTTTGCACAATCTTGATGAGCAGGTGTCAGCTCCTGAAAAATAAAAATTGTTGCCTTCTTAAAATTCAAGAAGAGAGATGCAGGAACAAAGGCTGAGCTGTTCAATATTAAGATGCCAAAGTTATATTCTAGTGTTCATACCTGTGTCATAAGCCTATCTGATCTTGTCTCAATGCTACTTCATAAAATCCCATGGTACAATAAAATCTCCAAGTGTAAAAAATCAGTGTAGAAAAAAATGAGTTGAGCAGGAATTAATATTGGTAACATATGTAACACTTAGAAATTCATAAAACACTTCTGTAGAAGCAATAGGTGTACTTAACAAATCATAACTGAGATGAGAGTAAAATTTCCCCAAAGATACTGAGGAAATCCACCCAAAATTAAAAAGCATACTGTTGTTTTCTCACAAATCCAGCATTGCCAATAAGCTTACATTACATTTTGTTTCCAGACCTTAGTGACTTCCCACTTCATTGTATGTTTTTTCTGTTTCCCCCGCACCTCAACACTGCATCAAAACACCTTGTGGCACATGCTGGATGAATACCTATTTGGAAGGTGCTACAAGATAAACAGCAAGAAAATGTCCAAGCAGTGCATAGAGCTTTGTTCTTCTTTCAACAGAAAACTTATTTCACTCATGATTATCAAGCTGCATTCAGTCCATCATGCTCAGGCACGGGGCACACTTTTAGTAATTATTCTGGACTTTTTTTGCCTGCATCACCATCCACCGTGGAAACACTGAGAATTTTCTGTCTGTATTGGTGACATACACTAGTATGAAATATGTTGTTTGTCAGTCGTAGGCATAGCAGAGCCTAGCAGCATTTTATTTAGACTTTTTCACAATGCTATAAAACTAGAGCTTTGTGTCATACACAGACAGGTGTAAACTTGTGAAACTCATGTCTGCTTTTCCTGTCTTCTGGTTGTTTAAGTTCTTCAGAAGTTGCTTAGATTGAAATACACTCTATATTAGGATTTTATCATGCTAAGGAAATAGTGGGCAAATACTTGCATATAAAGATTTTGATACACTATCATATTCTTGTTACTGCTACATGGTAGTCTAGGTCCACACAGCAGCATTTTACTGCTGTACTGGGTATTGCACTGATTAAGCAGCATAAAAAATCCTTTTCCCAAGACATCTGTAATCTAAGACATCCAGCCTGCATATGCACAGGGACAGAAGATTACTGTCATGCATGCACTGTCATATGTTCTCAATTCTCTTTCTGAACTGTGCTAATCCTTTAGTGTCCATGCTTTCTTCTGCTTTGAATTCTTGCTTTCTTATTATCACCACTGGCAAGGACATTGCAAAGAATGGTTGTTTAAAATATTTTTATTGCGATGCAAAGATAATGGATTTCTGGAAGATGCTTTTTGGTGCGCAGTTGGAAAGCAATACAAACTGTTATCCCTTTTTGACTGATTCACTCTCTTCCCAGTTATCACTTTCTTCCCTGGCTTACAGTGCACAGCCCGCGACCCTGTACTAAACAGCAATATCTGTACCTCTTTCAGGACTTAAATGTGTGATAACAGACAAGGTAACTTGTACTGCTAGCATGAAGATAAGATGGAAAAAGCACACAACTTGTCAAACAGCACTGAAACATAGGCCGAAACACAATAAAGGCCCAGATACAGACCGTTTAAGCCCTCAGAGTAGTATACAGCCTGACAAGCTAGGAGCAAAGGTCAAAGAAGGAAACAGCTCTCAGTGACTTGTATATTGAGTAGGGAAAGAAAACAGATGCTATGAGAACAACATTTGAAATGAAGGTGTTTTAAAACACTATGTAGTTTCAGTGTACTGTAGTTTGATAACACATACCTTTAAAATTAGGTCCAACAACAGACTAAGTATTTAGGTGCAGAAAGAAAGCAGAAAGTGGATTGATACAGCAGAAGCAGAGAGCGCGGTGTGTGTAAGCTGGCCAGATACCACTGAGGCTTCTGTGTTTACCTCTGCTAGAGGAGAAGGAGAGGGAGAGGGAGAGTTGAAGGGGAGAGGGAAAGTTGAGAAGGAGAGGGAGAGAGAAGCAGAAGCAGAGGGAGAGGGAGCAGGTGCTGATCCAGGGCTAGGCAGTCAGAGACCAGCAGTACCACAGGCCTCCAACTACTCTGCTCACAGCAACAGCTTGGAATTTCATTCCTCTGATTGCCTCAGAACAGTTTAATTCTGCTGTTGGCTAATGAAATTGCTTTTTCATACTGGGTGGTTTGAAATCTTTGTTAGAGATTGTGGTTTTAATCCTTGTTTTTAATGGAAAAGGGCAGGGAGAGGTGAGTTCATGTGACCTTGCGGCAAGCTGAAAGATCATCTTGCATCCTCTCAGGACCAGAAGCTGTAACTGGCTATTTTCAAGAAAATCTCAGTAATGTATTTCTGTGATTGAGCATTCTGGAAAATGTGATGCAATTCTTCTGAAACAACTGTCCATACAGAAGACTGTGTTTAGCATAGTGTACAGGCAGCACATTTTAAAATGAGATTAGCAGTGCCTGAGATTAAAACACAAAATTATCTACATGGATAAACACAACAAGTGAGGTTTGATATGAATTTCCACCTCACTAGCTATTCTGCATTAGTCTTGATGTGAATTCTCTCCCTCTCTGCATACTAAAATGTAGCTTATTCCCCCTTCCAACAGCTGACTGTCATTCTCCTGTGCTCATTTATATCGGTTCATTCCTAGGGTAATCCTGTGGACCCTGTGGGTAATGGCCAGACACTTTTGCAATGTCATTTGTCAAGCCACTATCAGAGTAAATGTACATTTAGGGGAATGGAGGATAGGACATGGAGGTTAAAATGTACAGTAACATTGAGGGATTTATTCATAACACCCCCCAGATATTAAAAAAAAAAAAAAAGTGAATAAAATACTACATCATGTTATAGTTGAAAATGAACAGAAAGAACCTCACTGCTCAGTAGTAAAACTACTTGCATTTGGCCATTTATTTTTCATAAAACAACAGATTCAATTGTAATACAAGGAGTGTCTTAGCTTCAGCTGGGATGAAATTGTTTTCTTCAGAGAGTTTGGTACGGCACTATGTTTTTAATTCTGGGAGAAAAACAATGTTGTTAACACACCGGTGTTCATAGCTGCTGCTAAGCATTGCTGTACAGAGCAGAGAATGCTGTACATTCTCTGAGAAGGGTCCAAGGAGTTGGGGGGAAACGGAATTAGGACAGTTGACTCAAGCTGTCCAAAGGGATATTCCACACCATATGACATCATGCAGAAAGAGTTCTGAAGGAGGTGGGAGTTTATCTGGTTCTCTTCTGCTGCTCAAGGGGCTAGCTGGGCATCAGTCAGATGGTGGCGACAATCACTTGTGCACCATTTGTTATATGCACTCACACGTAGATATATTCTCATAACTATTATCCTTTTCCTTATCTCTATCTTAGTAATTAGTTTTATCTCAACCCATGAGTTCTAGCTTTTTTTCCCTGATTCTCCCCCCAGTCTCACTGGGAAGGGGGGGGGGAAGGGGAGGGGGAGTGAACGAACAACTGTGGTGCTGAGCCACCTGCAGGGTTAAACCACAACAAGGAATTTGAGATAAGAAGAAACAAATCTTTCATTGATATTATAGAAGTGTCACACTGGTGTTGTGTAGAGCTGTTCCTAGCTCACCTCATGTAAAGCAGATCATGTGGTCAAATGAATCCAGAGGACGAACATGTATATGAGAGTAACACCTTGTTACATTAAACTATGAAAGTGTGTGCATATGTGCATATGCACCCACATACACACTTGCATATTTACAGTCGTGTAAATTTCTATAAAAGATTACCTGGATAACAGATATGTCCATCTCATTTGCTTTAACAGACTTACTTACTTTCATCTTTACTGCCGTGGAAAATACTTAGGCAGAAGCTTTGAAATTTCTGTGGTAATGGTGCTTGGACACAGAAGCCACCAAAAGGCAGGTTATTTTCATTTTAATGGGACTTGGAGCTTTCTCATTGCCCTTTGGCAGACCCAGTGCTATTTGCAAACATCAAGATCCTCTGTACATTTTGGTCGTAACAGATTAATTTTAAAACATGAATTTTAGGGTAGGAGAATAGAATAGAGTATTCTTGCTTGGTTTACTTGCATTTTGTTTTACCTGCCCCAGCTTTCAGACAGCTAATTATCTGATTAAAAGAACAAGCATAATTTCACTTGAATGCGTTTGCCTCTGAAAATGATCAAATATGGTGCAGACTCAGCTTTTAAAACAAGCACTTCTGCTATGTTATTACTAAACACATAATGGAACTGCATGCTGTTTTTACAATTTTGTTTATATCATTTGTATATTGTTTTATTTTATACAGCTACAGTTTTTTAACCTTTCAAGGAAAGATAACACTATCAATTCAGTGTAATCAGTCATAAAGCTGAAATTAACATGCTCCTATCATTTGAGAATCAGAGATTAAGAGAGGAAAGCAGTGCTTCAGGGCAAAACTAGTAACAGCCAAAATTACTCAAAGAAACTATCATCTGAATTATTTTTATAGTATGAGATCTGTTGTGAAATATGGAAACGGTTATAAAATATACCGCTAGCACAGGAGCCATTGCTGGTGCTATTTCAGACATGACTGAAGAAATGACCATTGTTTCCTCCTGACAGCCAGAGATCTGCGGGTAAACAGTGGAAAGGCTTTGCAAATGTTGGCCTGCAAAAGCTCACGTACAACATTTCAGAGCCAAGAGCCTCATGTGCTGTGGAGTCCTACAGCTCCATATTCTGAAATCCCGATGCCAGTGTTCATTACGTAAAAGACTTCATGCTCTTACAATTTCTTGATCACAGTTGGGTTACCAAATTACACAGTACATATACACACTTACATATCACCTTCTGTGAGCTATTTACATTGAAATCAAAATCCACAGATCAGAAGTAAAGCTTGCTAAAAACTACACAAATAAACATCCTCATAAGTTACTCTGTTTTTACTCCCAAAAATCTGCCACAATTCCAGAACACTAACTCATTCCCTAAATGAGGGTATAGTGCTAATATGTATTACACCAAGCTCATGTTTTACAGTTCTTTTCTTTTTACAAATAACGATAATAATTAGTACTTGTTATACCAAAAGCACAGTAAAGAAAAAAATGTGAGAAATGCCATTCCTCACATTTGGAAGAGATTGGAAACAATTTCTTTCTCCTGCTACATCTCTTCTTACTATGCCCTGCCCCAACTTGTATCCTCTGTGTTGGAAGGAAGAAAGAAAGGGAAAATGCCGGTATCAAGCAGAAAATCATTTCACCCTTAGAATTGCAGCCTACTTCTTCCTACAGGAAATTGCATTGTAGGTGGCTCCAGCCACATGTAGAAGCATGTTGGTCAAGAACAGCTGCTAAATTGACTACCTGAGAAATTGAGAGGATGTTTTAGTTGATAGATTTCAAGATAATTTTTCGGAGAGAAGAAAATACAGCAGCTCATGTCCCTTTAGAGATTATTGCTACAATCTTCCTTCCCTGTGAATTAACCCAACTTTTTGATTTTTTATAGCACATATAATGCCATGCTGGCCATGATATACGTAGGTTCAGAGAGGCCACGGATAAATGTGACCTCTGGTATTTTACTTTGTATAGCTGTGATAAAACACTGAACTTTGCAAAATGCAAACATCAATGCAACATTGCAACATCTATGTTTATAGCTGGACGAGATCAACACCATCACCCTGCCCCTTAAACACAGCTTTGGAAGTGCTACACCTCCTTTTAAGTCATTCCACATTTCAAGCCTGCATCAGAATGATCTCATCCACTCTTGCATACAGGAGACATTTTTCACAGTACAAAAATTCCCTGCCCGAACATGACCGCAATTAATATCACTAAGTTAGCTTTTGTTATTAAGCTATTTGTTGTCGTGCTGCTGTAAGACTTTGTGCACAGCAATGGAAGCTGGCTAGAGCACTACAGTCCAAACAGCTAGAGGATAACACTGAGCAGATGAGCTAAAGAATATGAACAATGAAAACCTGTACTTCTTTGTTTCAGCCTAAACACCCTGTGTTCTATTCCTACCAGCTCTAGCGATCTTAAAGTTGAGAGCAGTCTTTTTGCAGCTGTTTCCCTTAATTATTGCAGTTTCTCCAACCCCTTGCTATCACATCTCATTTACTCTCTCCCTTCACTTGGTAGGTTATATTTCGTAGAAACACCACTACGAGGAGAATAATCCAATAATCCAAAATACTACTTACCACACAAGGCTTCAAACTGAAAGCAGAAGAGATAGAAAGTTACTGCAACTGACTTCATGCTTGCCTGACACAGAGGCATCAGCTTTCTGTCTGCTGTGAACATGGAGAAGAATTCATGGGTAGAAAAGGAAGTGGTTTGTGGGCAATGGGGGAAATTATATGATAATCGAGGACCTTTTTATTTAACCCCTGACTACGTTACAGCTATGTCAGCATTAGCTGTCGCCCACACCTGTGGAGTTTACTGCTTATTTTTTTTCCTACCTCATGGCTTGCTGTCACAGACAGGAAGATGAAAGATATTCTTATATTACCTTTGATGTCCACTTCCGCAAATGTTACTTCTGGTTAAATCTGTCACGATAGATATTGCTGTCATCACCAGCACGCTTCCTGCAGATAGCCATTGATCAGAGACTTCTACCTTAAGTTAGCTTACAGTACGTGTGTGTTTGCTTGCTGTTGGTGGCCAGGCTTCCCCCACCAAAGCTGGTGGTACTGCTCCACATAGTAGCTGATATCCAGCAGGGCAGGAGGCTTCTCTTGGTCCCGGTTCTGGAATTTGGTGGAAGAACAGAGCCGGGTTGCAAGAAGGATTTGTTCTGTGCCATCCCTGTGACATCTTGGAGGCTCACTTGTGTCAGACTTCCACCCTGAAGTTCTGGCTTGCTCTGTGCAGACTTGAGAAACTTTTGCAAGAACTAACTCATTGCCCAGGGCCTTAGGTCAGAAGCTTCTCTCCCTCCCTCTCGCTGCTTTTGTGCTACGCACTGTATTCTCGCATGTGATCCATCTGTATCCAGGAAATGCTTTAGGACCCTCTAGGGTAAAATATTCTACAACCATTTAGAACTGGCTATTTATTATGTTTGTAATACAGGTAACAAGTTGGAAAAACAGTTTCTAAATGAAGTTTAATAAATTAGATGCATTTAGCGTTCCTGACTGTCATACATACACTAGTAAACGCAAAAGAGTAATTCTGGTGCCTGAGGTTGGTGTCTTTGTAATGCTCATACAGATCATTGCAAATACCTGCAAATCTTTGTCTTTTCTTAAATGAAAATCAGAGTCAAGTCAGGATTTGATCTAAAGTTTCAGTTTGGGGCTCTGAAACCAATCTCAAAAAATTCTAACTACAGAAAGTTTCTGCAGTATACTTTTAATTTTGAAGCTAAAGAGTAGTATATCTGAAGGTTCAAAGAAAGGTAAAAATACAGAAAGATATATCTTACTCCTTAACTTTGCCAAGGAAGGTTCCAGGTAGGACCACCTTTCCTATCCCTGAAAACAACATAAGAGAAATCCTAAAATAGCAGAGGACCCTTCTCCTGGGACAGGACTTTTATTGCCCCTCAAGTAAGCCTGAGGCAAGCAGCCAGAGAGACTGATAATTAATGAAAAGAACTTCTGCTGATGCACAGTGAAGGGAGGAAGAGAATAATGTGTGAAGTGCCTCCACCAGTACCTCTAGGGGAGCTTGCTGGCAATGTACCAAGGACTGAGTCACTACAAAGCATAGCACCGACTGGGAGGGCCAGTAAAGGTGCAGATTAAAATACCCATTTGAGCAAAATTTTAGCTATTTTTTCAGTAAAAACAAAATTGAAACAAATCAGGGCTGTTAGGATCCAAAAATATGGTGCCTTCCTTCAGAATTTAACATTTTGCCAGGAAAATTATTTTGATAGTGACTTTTTTTAAAAGCCAAAACACTGTTGTGGTGCAGCTCACTTCTGCTCTCCTTTCTCAGGGACCTCATCAGTTATAACAGTGCAGAAATGACAATTACATTCCTTCCTGGGGTGAAAGCAGCTCCCAGCAGAGTTTCACTGGCAAAAGCTAACAATTGGAGCAAGTTCTGATGTCCAGTAAACAAGCTGTATTTGTTCACTTTGTTTCAAAATGATCCAGCCCACGGTACCCTTTGGGGTACATTTGGCAGCACTCTGAAGGCTGATCACAATAATATATATTTTTTTCTCAGATGGTGTTTGATAATGAGCCAGCAGAGCTTGGGGCACTCAGTGTTTGTTCTAAAGCTAAAATCACAGCATTCAGGGCTGAGTGTGAGCGATGCTCACCTTGTAGTCCCACACTAACGAGATCCTTTGTTGCCTTTCAACCTTTTTACTCATTCCAACTTTGCCTCCCTCCTCTGTCAGGGCTTTCCGACTTCACATAGACACTGTGACTGCAACTAGAAACGTTTCTGACAAATACTACTGTTGGTTGCAGTTAACCACCTGGGTTAGCAGTCTGTTTTTCCACAACATGCTTCCTACAACTAGGTACTTTGGGTCACAAACACGTGCTTCCTTTTTCCATTTTCACTCATTTCACTTCTTCCTTCATTTTGATTTTCACTGTCTTTCATCCACGCGTTCCTCTCAGATCTCACTTCTTTCCTCTTCTAACCTCATGGTCCCTGGCCTCTCTCCACCACCTCCTTAGGCAGAAGCTGCCCTCCACACCTGTGCAGGAATTTTTCTGGAATGTGGCTCCTCCTTTCCCAAGGCTACGTTCTTTATATATGATCTCACCCTCATAGCTACTATCTCAGTGATAAATTTCTTCTCTCATATCTCACTTCTAACTTGTGTGCTTCACTTGTTTGGGGTAGAGTTAATTGTCTTCATAGGAGCTCATATGGTGCTATGCTTTGAATTTCAGATGAAAACAATGTAGATAACTGAGATGTTTTAATTGTGGCCAAGCAGCTCTTACAGAGTCAAGACATTTTCTGTTTCTGAAACTGCCATGCCAGTGAGAAACAGGTGGCACATTAGAAACTGTGAGGAGACACAGCCACACAAATTGTATCTTGTTTCCTGCTGCTTCTTATCCTATGCTTCAGTGTCTGGCCTATATTCTCATGACTCTGGGTCATTCCCTCAGCACTGGAACATAAAGCCTCCACACTGCTGTTCTTTCCTATTCTTATAACTGGGGAGAAGAGCAATGATTTTCACTGTGTTATTTTTAAGTTTTTATGATGATTTAAATCCTCCTTCCCATCAGCATCACTCCCTGTTAGGCGTGTAAACTAGTTGCAGTCACTGAGGATGTACAGGTTTCAACCTGCAATGCAGCTCATGTGCTCCCTCATTGGTTCTGATGCCTCCTCTGCTAATGTCCATGGGGCACACAGGAATATTCTGGTGAGCAACGCACTAGTGAAAAATACCAGGACTTATTTCAGCTCCAGGGCACACAGACACCTCCCTGCAAAGTAGACCTTGGGGCAAAATCCCCTTTGAGTGTGTGCATGGCCTTGCATCTTGGCAGCAGCTCAGTTACCCATGTATCACTGACTTTCAGTTAGTGTTTGAGAATATTTCATTGTCATAGACTTGTTGAAAGAAGAAAAAAAGTGTGTGTCCACCTCTGAAGGTGTTCAAGGCCAGATTGGATGGAATCCTGGGCAACCTGGTATCTGGTAGGTGACAGCCCTGCCCATGGCAGGGGGGTTGCAGCTCTATGACCTTTAAAGTCCACTCTAACCTAAGCCATGGTGTGATTCTGTGACATGATTCCATAATAATTTACATGCAGTAAATTCAGTCAATAGGAGCTAAATGACAAATGCAATTTGTCTCACTGCCATTTCAGTTCCTGTGGCTCATTCTGTGCTGGCTGGCAGAAGGTCCTGAGGGCTATCTAGACAAAAGACTCCCTCCAGCTGGTCTCAAGAGCTGGTGGGCTTTAGTGGGTCTAGCCCTAGTGCCCCCTGGGACATGTCTACCTAACAAAGTACCTAATTACTTCTCTGGGAGCATGAGCATAGGTAGGCATGGCCCAGTGAAGATCAACATGTACATGCTGGTGGCCTGGCTACAGGTCTTTGAGATGGTAGTGGAAGGTGTCCTGTCAAGGTGACAGTCTTCTGTTCTGGGAAGTGGACTGTAAACAGCAGGCATCTTGGAGTGCTGTATGCCTGAGTGTGCAGGAGATGCGTATGTAGGAGAATAGACGTGCTGCAGGCAGCCTGTGCTCGTGTGCACTGCTGATCCCCATTGCTAAGCCAGCCTGTATCAGGAAGGAGGATACCTTCTGAAGCCATTGTGCTTCTTTTGGGGCCAACGTGCTGCTACCTGGGACTTTGTCACCAGCACTGCTTACACCTGGATTCAGAAGGGAGGTCCTCCAAAGTGGGCAATAAATATGCAAAATGAAAATGAAGTGCATACCTGGGAACTCTTGACAGTTTTTATCTTGTGCAGAGTGCTATAAGGCATGTAGAGCTACCTGCAGCTGAGCAGGGTGACCATGAAAGTGATTCTGCCCTTGAGTTTGAATTTAATCCTCTGTGAGTGCGACAGCAGTGAATTAAACACATTCTTTAACATTTTCACACCCCAACTGTTTCAAAGCTTGCAGTGGGGCAGGGACTCCTGTAATGTGGTTAGCTGGTCAGCTGCCTTGAAGGGGCCGGGGCTGAAAGATCTGCATGCCATAGTGGTAGCTGGGGTTTGTGGTGTGCCTTTTATCTCAGCACTGGTGTGCTTACATTTTAAAGCTAAATTTTTGCTGCGCTTGCACCAACAGCATACCAACGGGAAGCTCTCCCTTCCAGAGATAGTCCCCGAAGCTGCAATGCATGCTTGTAGACAAGGGAGAAACCAAAGGGTGCGCTGAAAACTGCAAGGACGGGTCAAACAGCGCAACCTAGGCTTGGATTATCAGCAACATGGAGGTGGCTTTGGACAGCCATGCTGCTGCCTGTTTCCGTTCTGAAAATCTATCTTTCGAGTCTTTTGGGTCAGACTTTGGTCACGTCCCCTCCGCAGCCGTCACAGCCCGTGCTCGCGGTTTAGCCCCGGCTCACAGCCCGCCCTCCGCCCCGGAGATCGGCTGCCAGGCTCGGGCGCCTCGCACAGCCGGAAAGCAGCGGCCGCAGGCGGGGTGTCCCGGGCGGGGGCTCGAGGCGCAGCCCGGCCAACGGCTCGCACCGCAGCCAGGAGGCCGCACGGGGGCGCTGCCGGCACGCGCTCCCGCCTTGCAGGCCAGGTTCCCGCGCAGCGGCTGCTGAGGGGAGGGGCTGCGTCCAGAGCAGGGCGGTCTTAGGAACGAGTGCTG